ACATACTGCTGCTCATCATTTGTGAAAGAAAACACAATTAAAGATGCTGGGGATATCACTAAATCACTAAATTCTGTATATAAATCAAGAATAATTCACTTGAAAAACAAGTCCAACTTTAACAAATGTGGCCTAATTATTTACACAAGTTCAACAAGAATAGCGATTGACCATATAGATCCTTTAAAATTTGCTTTGCTGGAACTTTCCAAAAGGAGTATGTAGGCTGAACTTTTAATAGACTCTTGATGCCAGAAGCCAAACAAAATATTTGCCATCAGACATACCTGCAATACCTATAGATTTGGCCAAATTCCTTTTGAGGTTCCCCCCAAAATCCTGAGGTTCCAGCACCTCCCAAGAAATGATATTCTTTACTCACCCGGTAAGACTGCTGGGAACTCTGTATACAAGGCATCAGGCCAGCATTTCCAAGGGGCTCTATTGGCTTCATGAAGTCAACCTTACAGCTGTCTGGTTATATCTGAGTCTATGCATGTCTCTCTCAAATATGACATTCCAGTCAAAATCTTGGTACTATAACCAATGTTTCCAATGGTGTCTTGTTACAAGAAGAATGGATTATGCAAATTCAAGAACTTAAGCAAATTCTAATTGCCATTGAACAAAGAATACTCACTGAGAGTTTCTGAATTTCAGAGGGTTCAGGTACCCATTTGTTTCAATCTTAACTCATTCTGACCACACCTAAGATTCTTTTCTAGAGCTTTCCCTTTACAGACTTACAACTTTCTTTTGTATTCAGATTTTATCCTAAGTCTTTTCTCTCATAGAAGTAGTCTCATTTTGGGACAAAATTACCTTCTTTTTCCCTCAACAAAAATGTATTCTCATTCCCTACACCTTCTTACATATCACTTACTTTCCTAGTTGCTTTCCTTATCATTTCCATCAGTCTTAATTACATATAGCAAAATTCTAACTCTTAGAACCTTAGTCTCCAGTGAAAACTAAGTAGTAACAAATTGTGAACTATTATACCAAAATTCTTTAGATTGGCAAATTTATGAATACATTTCATAATTTTTAGGCACATGCAGTTTTCAAAGTATAATCTTTCTTTCTTTTTTTTTTTTTTTAAAGATTTTATTTATTTATTTGACAGACAGAGATCACAGGCAGGCAGAGAGAGAGGGGGAAGCAGGCTCCCTGGCAAGCAGAGAGCCCGATGCAGGGCTCGATCCCAGGACCCTGGGACCATGACCTGAGCCGAAGGCAGAGGCTTTAACCCACTGAGCCACCCAGGCACCCCGAAAGTACAATCTTTCAATAAGGCACATAGCACGTTTTCCAACAGACCCAAGTATTTTTAGTTTCTCTGCGGTAGAAAGTCAAAAGCAAACAGACCTATGTCATTAACCAATGCTTTAGGAGTCCATCTTATTTGGAAATGACTTAGATATCCAATGAATTCAATCCAACTTATCATTTAACTTAGCAAAACCTCAAATTTTTAGGTTTGATAGCTATCTGCAGGGTCAGATGGCCATGAAACCTAGCAAGACACATTCTACAATTTTTGCGGAGGTCAGGATTTGGAGACAATGCCACGAAAGCTTGCACATATGGGACTTCCGACCCTTTGGAAGGATTCTGGCAAAAGAGGTCAAGGTAGGAAGATAATATTATAAGAAAGGGTTCCATGGAGGGAACATACCTCTTGACCTGGGAGTTTGTACTGAGGCCAGGAAACATTACATAAAAAAGATGAGACATTTTTTTCAGGCCTTGGGCATCACCTTGGTTCCATTTCTAAAAAAATGGAACCAGGTGAGTCCAAGGAATGACCCAAGGGTGAGTCCAAAGGAATAGAGGGGATGTCCCATAGCAGGAAAGACCAGCTGCTGATTCCCAAAGGGGCATCCCATCAAAGGGAATGGAGCTCTGACTTGTGGTTGCAATTTCGGTCAGTGCGCCCCACGGACCTGAAAAAGGACTGGACCTTACATGGGGTGACCGTCTCTACTGGGGCATCCTACCAAGGAGAGGGCTGCCACAAACGGCAATAGTAATCCCTGCTGGAGCTTCCTCTGCAGCAGGAAAAGCTGGACACTGGGTGGCCAGATCAGATTGGAAATAGGAGTGGAAAGGATGCACCACTCAGATGCACAGGAATGCCGTTTGCCTATAGATCAAGAAGGCAGCTGGATCCATGCGAACAAAGGAAAAGGGGAGGGAGGGAGTTCCAAAAGAAGCACAATGCGAAGGGAGACCTCAGAGACGGAGGGGAAGAGGAAGGGAAAGGGGTCCTTTGCCGTTACAGGCACCAGCAGTCCAACCTGCTCACCTTCAGACCTGTAGACCACACCAGGGAGTTGCCCTGGCCAGAGATCTTCAGATCTCCCATACTAGGGTTAGGGCGCCAAAAAGCTGAGAAGAGAAAGGGGAGGGAGGGAAGGGTCCCTCTGAAGGGCCAGAGGAAAAAAATCACTCACCGTTTTCAGGCTCTCTGGTGGGTTCCTCCTGGGGCTTTGGACCCTCAGTTTCCCCAGGAGTACTAGAGTCAGTCCACTGAGGGAAAGTCCCAAGATATTTCCGGAGAATCTGGGCAGAGTCCAGACCAGCAGAGGTTCCCATATGGGACACCAAATGTTGGGCACTCCAGTTGGGGAGGGGCCAGCGGAGTGGGTGGTAAAAGAACTCACTCAAGGCAGCACGAAAGAGACAGAAGTTTACTGAACACACCACAGGCGAGCGGCAGGCAGGACAGCAAAGGGGAGACTGGTCTGCTGAACACAGTTTCCGGAGAGCTAAGAGCATCAGCAGTACATTGTGGAGTGTAGGAAAAAATTGCTTCATATTTTCTGTCTTTTCCAATTAGAGATCTGCAATGACTTTTTGCTGCTGTCATTTTGCTAAGGACACAATGTGGCAGATACACTCCATGCCCTCTGTAGTAAGATCTGTTCACTACTCATGACTACCGGGGGTTTGTTGTGTACCGGTTTGGCAAAGAGAGGTTGTTTCCTCTAGCAAAGCCAACGTAATGGAAAGACTCAGTGCGGGATAATCTGTGAAAAGAACTGGGACGGGAGCACAGAAAGACAAGTAAAAACTTAAGAAGATACTCATGTTTATTATCTGATTTACATTTGACAAAGCAAAGGTAGGTGTACAAAGAGCTGTTTGACAAAGTCAAGCCCTACACAGCCAACAAGAGTGTTTCCCTGGCTGTCCCTGAGGGCACTGGAACACCAGCCCTCAGCAGCTACGCTCTGCACGTAACCCCCAGGTTGTAGACACTGGCGTTGCGCTTGGAGTACAGGTCTGTGGGCCTCTGACATCAAAGGAGTCACCACTACACACTTGCGAGCTCTCGTTCCAGATGTCGAAAGTCCGTGTAAGCAACTAGCAAGTACTAATTATGTACTAGAGTGGCCAGAAAAGAACAGACTTTGAATACTGTATAAATATACCTTTTCTAGAGAATAAGCTCTCATTGTGAGCTGTCTCTTGATTTCCTCCCTTTGCCCAAGTCTGTTCATTCCTGTCAAATCAAGGACATAAAGTATAAAATGTTTTAAAAAACTACTTTAACGATGGTCATGAAGTTCTCCCTAAGACCCATGCCTAAGGCTATTTACATAAGATTTGGGATCATCATAATTCAGGAAAACTTTTCATTCTGAGCTCACAAAGGTATCCCTCCTATAGAAAGCAGGATACTCAGGAATCCCTGAGGTATAGTCACTGAGAACCTTCCTGAAGGAGAAAAAAAAAGATCAGAGTTTCCTATACTGGCATAAAAGTACATACACAGTTGATACTGAAACACTAAAATACGACAGGACTAAAGCTTAACAGATAAGCTGAGGAGAAACTTCCTACAGGGCTCCAGGTCGTCTACTACACTTTGCACAGCTTTGTTATAACAGAGAGATTCTCAGGCCGTACCAAAAATGATTTTAGGTGGAAGCTTTAAAAACAGCAAACCCCAAATTCAAAGATTCATTTCTAGAGACAAGCATGCACCAGTATACAATCATTATGTTTCTGGCAGAACAGGAACATCAGTCCAATTTTCAAAAACTTAAGTCTGGGTCTCTTTAATTAGATGTGCTTATTTGGCTGTGAATATGCCCTCACCCTGCTTCCAGAGTGATCATTTTAGCATCAGTTATAAAAAAAAAAAGTATAGTAATTATATAGAATACTCCAAAATCTACCTTAGTTTATAGCTATTTACGTTAAGATACACAAATCTGATAATTTAACACTTTGTACTACTCTCTGGCCCTATATTTTTCTACTTCCTGATGTTTCTTGGAAACTGGCAACAGAAAGATTACTTTCTTAGAGAATAAATAAAAAGCTTTAAGAATTGGCTAAAATAAGCACCCCAGAGTCACTTTAGGAAGTAGAGGCTCAAATACAATTTTAAAAAAAAAATGAATTGGAATATTCTGGAAATTTAAACATCTTTAAACAAAGAATTCTTCTGGTTAGTGCCTACCGTATTCAGGGACACTTAACATTCACTTATGGACCTGCTGGAATCCTTCTGAACGTGGTATGTGGAAGGTCGGCTGACGTCAGCATGACTGACAGAAGGGGAGAGGACACTTTCACTTTTCGTTTTTACGAAATTTAGGAAAATTTTAATTAAGCTTCTACAAAGCATGGTAAACTCACACATTCTTACTACTGTATGCATGTTGGTTCTTCTACCCCTTTGGGCACATAGCTCTACACGTAGGAGAGGCATCTTCATGTAGCATAGGGGAAAGGAAGGACCCTCTTAAATATGAGAACAGGTGTATCAATGGGAACAAAAGGAGCAAGGCTCTTATCAAGAATTCTCCAGAAAGGGGCGCCTGGGTGGCTCAGTGGGTTAAAGCCTCTGCCTTCGGCTCAGGTCATGATCCCAGAGTCCTGGGATCGAGCCCCGCATCGGGCCATCTGCTCCGTGGAGAGCCTGCTTCCTCCTCTCTCTCTGCCTACCTCTCTGTCTACTTGTGATCTCTCTCTGTCAAATAAATAAATAAAATGTTTTTAGAAAAAAAGAGAATTCTCCAGAAAACTGTCTTCCAGTTAAGTCAGAAGAAATGAGCCAAACATTTGCAAATTGAGCTCCAAAAAGATCAGTTTGCCTCCCACTTTCAAAAACAAAATAATTAGCCCACTCCCTCATCTCTTCTCCATCATGCCTTTCATATAATGGTATTTTTTTCTGAACTGTACTGTGCAGAGAAAGCCATGTTGTCTGATGAACAGACCTTGATCGGCAACGCAGTGAAACATATCTGTTTCTTCCCAGTTCACGGCCTTGTGTCACACTGCTGAATGCGGAAACCCAGAGTTTCACTTTGCCACTTCACAGAATTTGTTAAAAAAAAAAAGAGGAATCCCAGAAAAAAAAGCAAAAACTTTGACTTTCCCATTAAAAAAGTTCATTCTCTAATTCTACAGAGGTCAAGAAAAAGGCTGATGTGCTTTAATTTTACATTAAAAAAACCACAATCTGAAAGCAAGCACCTGGGTTTTACTTTAGCTTATAATAATTTAATATGCCTGAGAATTTTTGTGCAAATACACGTCATCTTCAATGAAAAAATATGCATAGCACTTTGGAAAAAGTTTAGTTGCAACTAACTCTCCCTACGAAAAAACGTACAGACATAAATACACAACATTCCCTAAATCCTATTGATTGCACTTCTGGTTTAACCCCTTCCAGCCTCCAAGGACATAAAGACATGTAATTGTGTTCACACGCCTTGGCCACTGTCTTAATCTAAAAGAAATATTCTGAAAACAAGTATCCTTGGTTCCAATTTACCCATATTTTCCTTCTTAAAGTAAATCCTTCCTACCCCCAATTCATGTTGTTTTTTTTGGGAGGTGTTGTATAAAAATACACATTTAAAAATGATCTTTTATTATCACAAATACAAAAGGAATTTGGGTGGCCTTTGGGCTCCCAGTGGCTCAGAGGCTTGAAAACAGAAAGCAAAAGGGAGTTTCCACTACTCTGATTTTATGAAAAAGATAAAATTCCTTGTTTGCTACTGCCGTGTACATACCATTTGATGGATATGTAATTCAAGCAGACCTTAACAGGGTAAAACATAAGAGCCATCTCATTTGTCTCAGTAACAGATGGTGCTTAGCTCAGCAACCCTGCAGTTCAGCTTTTTATAGGCAGTGGTCAAAGCTGCTCCCTTTTTCTTCCCATCTCCTAACTTGGGTTCTTGCTGCTTTTGCTTACTAGAAGTAAATGTGCTAGCAAGTTCAGTATAACTGGTATATCTTGAGATTACTGAATTTATTGTCCAGTCACTTTTTATTCTCAAGATAGGAACACCCAACTGAAGAAGTATATTAAACCCTTCCTCTGTATCTGCCTCCAAACGTTCATGACCCATTCATTTATGCTTTCAGTTAATTAGACCTCATTCATTAGGGCCTCATCCCAATTCTGTTTCCATTCTTCCACTTTCCCCTTTCCACATTCACAACCCATCTGCAACATTCCTTGTCTCTCAGTCAGACCGGACTACAGGTATCAGTGCAAATCCATCCTTCATGTGTTAATTTGTCTAAGAGGTCAGTTAACTGCTGAACCTCAGTCTTCCTTCAGGATATCCATTTTCGGGGAGGTTGTGCAAACTGGGGTGCCCAAGCTACCCATCATGACTGGAAGACTCTGATTCCTCCTCAGTCCACTCAATAAATTGCTACCTGAATTTAAATAAACAGCAGAGTCCGGTCTTCGAAGACCAATCTCTGCCTCTTGGCTTCTTCCATTTTCCTGTGCATCAGGGGTCTTGATCACTCTGGCAATCCCCAGTCTCTTCAGCCTGTCCACCAAGTTCATCTTCAACTGGCCAACATCAGGAGGGTTCCGGGTAGGTCTCAAACCATACATCTCCTGGAGGAATGTTTCGGCTGGTCGGGAGGCCAAAAAATTTTCGGAGAGATGCACTCGAGGCTCAAAGGGCAAAGGAGAAGGGCAAGGTGAGTGAGATGGTGAATTTGGTGGTGTCGAAGGAATAGCCAGGGCTTTAGGGATAGGTTGGAGGAGGGGGCTCTCTGAAACTGGGCTGTGATACACTTTAGCAGAAATGCCTCGCTCTTGTAGAAGTTTGGCCAAGCTCGTGGTGCTACTGAAGGTTATAGTGGAATCTCGTCGGTTGGTAACAGATTCACCAATGCTGAGTCTGTAGGACATAGCAGGAGAATTCACAGCTGTGTTTGATGAACTGCTCCCACTACTTCCACAGGATAATGAAGGGAACCCAGAGCTTTGGGGGGAAAAAAAAGAAAGAAAGCAGGAGAGAGTGTTTAAAAATAAAAAGTAATTTCCAAGTCAGGATTTAAAGTAACTACATTAGTTATCTGTAGTAAATACAGAGCAACAGGCAATACATCAGTAAGTGTACTCTGGAAAGATCTGAATGAGAATTTTGATATTTACTTCAGTGATTTGATTGGTTAATTATCTGTAATTTGTAACTAAGTCACTAAACTCATTGAAACATACTTCTTTTCATAGGCTATAGAAAGTTTACTCTAAGAAAACTTCTTAAATTATAACTTAAAATATATGTCTTTGGGAATATGAATAAATTTTATGATAGAAATCAAAGAAATTAAAATATTACAGAAAATAGCCGGAAATTTTTATTCTTATATATTCATTCCATAAAGTGAAATACACCAGAGACAATAATCCATGAGTAAATAATTGTCCAACTTTTTTTTTAGAAAATATCATCTTTATATTAAACCTAAGATGCTCTTGTAAGGAGAAATTTTTTTAATCTTTCAATTTTATATTATTAAGAACTCATAAAAGTTGAAATTGTTAAAACTTCCATTTTCAAGAATGTTAATTCCAAACAGTCATAGTATAAGAATATCCATGAAACAAATTTTTCTTAACTTGACAAATGTTTCTTGACTTCGAACATGTGTTTGTGGGAAAATAAAAATAATTAAAAGCTTTGACAACCATTAGAAACTTCCTTATTCTGTGTTTTGTTCGAAAGAAAAAAAAAACCTAAGAAATCATGCACTCAAGGAAATGGTGACAGAGCAGAGAGGGAACTTCTTTTGCCAATTTCCCTCCCTTGAGCAAATGTTACCAGTATTTAATAGATAAACTTTCATTTAAACACAGAATACTCAGTATATCAAGATAACAAAATTTTTAATGATTATTAACAAAGTTATTATGAAAACATATTAATAAATAAACTTTCTGAAGTACCAACTGGTATGAAAGAAACAAAGAACAAACAAGTTTGACTCTGTGGTTAAAGAAATCCAAGTAAGAACCTCTAATGTGATGCAGCCTACAGCTATACTCCCAGGTTTCCACCCCCATTTCCTACTTAACTGTGGAACAAACTGTCTTTTCCCAAAATGTACACTTCGTATAGTATCAACCTGTAATGAGTCCTCCCAAGAACCAAGTTTACAAAACTTGCAATCTTGTTGACATAAGAACAATGTAGAAAAACTAAAGACATGACTGTTCATTACAGACTTTATTGAGATCTTTACTGGATGAAACCCAAATGCTTCCCTAAATAACTGATTTGTTCTTACATACATTGTGAATCATAATCTTATTTCCCTCCACATTGGCAGCTAGAAAGTTAAGACTCGAATATATGGCTCACACTAGCAAGTATCTAAGACTTTATGTTACAACCTGTATACTAGCTTTATTCTTTTACCCATTTTATATCCTTACTCTTGATTCCTCTGTGCTTCGTTTTTCTTTGCTACTCCTAGTTAACATTATCCCAATGTCGCATGTACCTTTGAAAACCACCTTAAATTCTTTTGGGAATCGGTAGGACAAAAATAGCAGCTTTGCCCAGAGGGTTCTGGCCTTTGCCCTCAGCTTCTGGGAGGTAATCTATGTTGTGTCTGATACACACGTATTTGTTTAGGATGAAGGCAGGCCATACTAGATCTTGGGGTGAGCCTGGCCACATCCAGCAGTTTTAGGGTAGGGGTCAGTCATGCCCAAGAGAACAACCATGTGATTTAGGGTGGGGGCTTTAGGTCAGTGGACCTGGAGGGGAGCTCAACTATACAGGCAATCAGTCAATCCGTCAATCAATCAATCATGACTATGCTCTGAAACCTCGATAAAAAATCTGGACACTGAGGCTTGCATGAGCTTTCCCAGCTGGCGATACTCTGCACGTACTATCACACATCGGTGCTAGGAAAGTAATGAATCCTAAGAATAAGGAACCCTCCCAGACTCTGACCTATGTCTCTTTTTGACTAATTTTAACTTGTAACCATTTCCTATAATAAACAGCATCCAGGAGCATAATGGCTTTCAGTGAGTTCCGTGAATCTTTCTAGCAAATTATCAAACCAGACAGTGGTTTTGGGAACACCATGAACTTGCAGAACTTGCAAGTAGTGTCAGAAGTGAGGTCAGTCTGGGAAGCCTGGGTGGCTCAATCGGTTAAGCGTCTGCCTTTGGCTCAGGTCATGATCCTAGGATCCTGGGATTGAGTCCCACACTGGGCTCTTTGCTCAGTGGGGAGCCTGCTTCCCGCTCTGCCTGCGGCTCCCCCTGCCTATGTGCTCTCTCTTTCTCCCTGACAAATAAATAAATAAAATCTTTAAAAAAACAAACAAAAAAACCCCCCAAAAACAAGTGCAGGCAGTCTTGTGTTGAGGACTGTTCCCTCAACTCTTGTGGTTTAGCTTCCTCTGGGTACAGGAGCAGCTGGGTCATTTGGTACCTCTGCCTTTGGACCAGTCACCTAAACTATCTATGCCTCCATTTTTCACTTACACAACACATCCTCACTTGCCCTGCCAACTTCAAAGAGTTACAATGATCAAAGGAGAAGATACAATGCGAAAATATCCTAAAGACAAATGATCGCAGAACATTAATTAAAATTCTGGGAGTTAAAATGAAAGTAATTTTTGAAATCAGTTCACGAACACATATTAAGGAAATAAGTTTTGGCCCTCGAATTGCCCAGACCCCTTACCTGGGGGTAACCTGAGTGATATCAGAAGGATGCAAAATCCTACAGGTGGTGAAGGTGAATGTCGAATTTGTGCATGATAGACACTTGCCTGGGTTTGAGGTTGCAACTGAAGTAGAGATTTTAATGGAATCAAACAAAATTGAAAGACTAGGTTAATGATGTAAAACATTCATCATTATTTATGAATTAAGCATTAGTCAAGGGTCTTTTGTACAAAAATCACCAAATTTGAAATGAAATATACATAAATATTGTATTAGTATCAGCTGGCTAGTATATAGCTGAATCCTTCAATACTTTAAAACTGTAATTCAAAAGGATTAAAAATAGGTTAGAAATAAGAGAAAAACATATTCTGAAAAAATACATTAATCTCCCCTCCCTCCACCCTATCCCCAACAAGATCTAGTCATTCAGTCTTTCTAGCCAAACCATCTACTTCTAATAGTTCTCAAAGTGTGGTCTGCAGACCCTGTGGGAATCCACAGGTCACAGGTCAAAACTACTTGCACAGCAATGCTGAGATGTTATCTGCCGTTTTGACTGGGTTGGCATTTGCACTGTTAGTGCAGAAGCAACGCTGAGCAAAACTGCTCCCTCCTTAGCACCAATCAAAGCAATGGCACCAAGCTATAGCGAGCTCTGCTAACATCCTTCGCGGCTGCCCACCCACAACAGTTAAAAAAAAAAAAAAAAAAAAAAAAAAAAAGCCAGATTCACATAAGAATGTCCTTGATGAAGCAGTAAAAACTACTTACTAAATCTTGACCCTGTATCTTAATATTCTGTGTGATTAAAGGGGAAGTGAGCATTAAGCACTCCGTTGCATACCAAGATAACAATGGTTATCTAAAAAGGAAACTCACACGGGCAATGGAGTTGAAATTTTTTCTTCCAACACCAGTTTTACTTGAAAGAACAGCTAACAAACTCTGGTTATTCAGACTTGACTGTCTGGCAGAAATTTTGGAAATGAAGGTAGAGAGCCTATCTTTTCAATAAAAATAGTTTACAGGATTTGCTGTCAGTGACAAAATTTCATCTTTCAAGTGGAGTTCTGGAGCACTGCTACCCACCGTTGAGAGCTTTAAAGCTTCCTAATACTAAAAAGATTTATCTGATGAGCTATGTGGTGATATTAATATAATTTTAATGTATTATATAATGAAATACATTAAGATTTGGAAGATCTGCATAACTCAGTGAACCAATATTTTCCAAATGACAAGTGCATGATATTATAAAATCATACATGGGTAAAAGATACATTCAGAGTATAGGATAGACCCACAGATTTTGTAACTAAGTATGAAAAGTTCACTGGTAGGTTTTTGGATTCCACATTGCTATAAAGCTTAAAGAAACTACCACTTACCAAGTTTTGGTGTAATATCAGAGAATTATCCACAAATACCTGAAGAGGCTATTAAAATACTCTCTCCTTTCACAACTACAGGTCTGTGTGAGCCTGCATTTCCTTCATACTCTTTAAATGAAGCAACATATGACAACAAACAATACAGAAGCTGTACGAAAATCTAGCCATCTTCTTTTAAGCTATAAATCAGTGACTTGCAAAACTATAAAACAAAACCATTCTTCTCAAAGAGAACAGCTACTTTTCCATAAAACACATTATTTATGTTAACATGTAATTATTATTTTTAAATCAGTTAACAAATATTTTGGTTCTTCCTCAGTTTTGATTTCCAATATAGTAAATATCAGTAGATACAACCCACAAAGACAAGCTGTCTAGAATCTCAATGATTTTTAAGGGTATAAAGAGATCCTGGCCCAAAGGGCTTAGGAACCACTGACTGAATTGATCTTTCTCTGACTCAGGCTGGCTAAGAGGTGGGGAGGATGAGAAAGGCCACTGATGCTACAGATCTTTCTTCTCTTTAAAGAATGAGTGCATTCCAGTTAGGTCTTTATTAATTATTAATTAATCAGCCATTATTAATTAACTAATAATTAATCATTAATAATTGGTTAATTAAGTAGAAGTGGTCCAGTGGCCCTCCTGGAAATCAGAATGCAGAATTCCCGGACCACACCCCACCGAGCACTGTTCTTACCTGTAACTGGACCACTAGCTGAAGTAATGGCTGGAAGGAAGATTCCTGTTACTGGCTTGGATACTGAAGGTTTCTGTTCCACTTGGAAAGTGATACCTTCCTCTTCATCCTCTTCTAAATCCGAGAGGTGATAGACGGCATCCTTGGGCAACTGGGTAAAACCTTTAGTGATGACACCTGGTCGTGGGTCAAGAATGGTTCCTAAATTTGGTTGGGCGAGCTGCTGCCAGTGGTGCAAAGTTTGTGATCCTGAATGTGCAAGACCAAACACAAAAAACAAACAACAACAACAACAACACCTTATAAGGCACGTTTTAAATTTCCCACAAATATTCGATCTTGAAACAGAGGCTATGTATGTGCCAAAAAGGATAATAATAAAACGACTTATTTAGTCTTAATATTTCAGTAAAATTTATATGAAGTTCTCTGTTACAAGATGCTAAAGGTATGGGTAATAATCTTACTGTTTCAAAAGGAAAGCTGAAAAAAACAGGGGCGAAAAAGCCAAGACAACAGCCTTAGTGGGAACTAGGATGCTGAAGCAGTGAGGAGAAGGAAGACAGGTACCCTAGAGGTGGGGTTGGATCGTCCCAGGTAACAAAAATCAATACTTCCTTGGCTTGAAAACTATGCTTACGAACTTCAAAGTCAAAAGCCAGGCTTCTAGATTGAAAGACACCTGAATTTCAGTGTTTTGTTTTTTTGTATTCTTCCCCACCCTGCTCATGACTCTCCTCTCCCCAGGCTCTCCAGGGAGAGTAGGGAAGTGAAGGAGATGCTAAAGGCAGGATATATCCCCGTGGTTCCTGTCTAAGAAACCTGGTGAAAGGCCAAGCACCTGCACCCGCACCGTCCAGTTACGTCACTACACACATTTCACCCTGCAGTGGGCAACTCTGACAAGTATCTGCCCTGATCATTAGTGAGTGAAACTAACTTACAGAACCCTCGAGTCTGAAGGGTCTTTAGCGATTACCTACCCAAATTCGTCTAAGGCAGATTCCTTTATGATCATAACAGAATCATTTGAAGGTAATCAGGGTTCCTTAAAACAAATTTATTTTGAATTCAAGTTCTGTCTTAGAAGGGAAAAGAAACTGAAAGGAAATGATCAAAACTGGCAAAAAAACCCAAAACAAAACAAAACAAAACAAAACACCAAACCAACCAGGACCTACATGTCTTGAAGTAAGTGACACTTCCTGGGTAAAGAACTCTTTTTTGAAAAGGAAGGTAGAGATGAAGTATTACATCTATATTATTTTTATTTATTTATCATATCCCATTTATTTTACCATGAAAACTGTATCAATGATATATCTCAGGTAAGGACGGGAGAGGATGCTCCTCCTTCCTCACATTTATATTAAAAAAACACGGATGGCTGATGACTTGGAGAAAGCAGATCTCTTCATTCTTTTTCCACAAAGTACCCTAATGGACTTCAGCCACACAAATGAGGTTTAGGGGTAATAAAGGTATCTCCTGCACATAGTCCTCTTATAATTACAATACAAGTTCAATTCAGGAAAGGGAAAGGCTAATAAGCAATGTGGCTTAAGAATGGCCCTTACTGATTTATTACCTTCAAGGGGCTTGACGATTTGTAGTTTTTCAGGCATAAAACCTCGAAGGCAACTGGCACTGCTGAGGTCTGTGATCTCCGACTGGTCAGTGCATAGAGAGGCAAGGCTCTCTGTGGGGGTACCACAGCCACTAGCCGCTTCTTTCTGGTCCGCCAGAACCTGGATCTTCCGCTCCCATTCCTCAGCAAAGAACTGCTTCTCGCTTAAGTAGTTCTGGCGCCGCAGACTAAGGCGATGCAGTGCTGTAGCCAAATCACTATCTCCAGACGGTCCTGGTTGACCCACCTTCTGAACGTTCCTATGGGAAAACCATTCACTGACTAGATCTGTAAGGGTGATAACCACAACCTAGACTTCTCTTTTCTACAATGGTGAATGTTTAAGAGACTGATCTTAAAATCATAGTGTTTTTTCCTTGGAACTCAAGAATACAGAAATAATAACAAACCAAAATCACTAATACTATACATCTTTTTTACAAATCATTTCAAGAAACCTCTGACAAGCAAATATATACTTATTTTATGTTTACTAACTTTTCTATTTCATTTAATTTTTATATTGAAGTATAATTAACATACAATTTTATATTAGTTTCAGGTGTATAATATACTGATTTGAGAATTGTAAACATTCCTCAGTGGTCACCATGATAAGTATAGCCACATAATTTATGAAACTACAGCTATGACTTCTATAAATTTAGTTTAGGCAGCCGGAAAAGTAAACTATATATTGCAGTGAATCTATAATACCACTGATTCTAAGAGGTACTATTACTTTATTTTATGTACTACTAAGAGAGAAAAAAATTCTACCCATTAAACTATGATATGCCATCCTCTATGAATACTGCAGAACATTTAAAAAAAAAAACACCCAAGATTTGTAAATACTACATTTTCATAGTTCTGTGAACATATTTGCTCACTTTTTAATATTTTTGAAATTAGAGGTTTCTTACAATTGATATCAAAAGAAAAAGTACCAAGCCAAGCTGCAGGAGCTCCTGGCTACTAGACGTGAATTCACAAAGAACTGTTCGCTCATCTCCTAAGGTAATTGTGTACAATGACATAGTACTAACATTGACACTTAAAGCTACTGTGGGTACAAACTGAAAGACAAAAAGAAAAATCCAAGGTGATGGGTCTTTTTCTCTGTTTCTTTTTTTTTTTTTTGCAACACAAGATATTTTTATTTTTGGACCAAACAAATTGCACCCATGGACCAAACCTGTAGTTTACAGAAGTATGACCAATACCCTTCTGTGAAGTGATAATGGGCAAGCTACAAAATGACTGAAGCCTCACTTCCCTCAAACTATACGTTGAAAAGATATAGTACCTACACTATAGGGTGATTGTTGCCAGGATTAACCAATATTTAGCTCCTAGTCCACAATTAAGTGTTCACTAATGCTAAGAACTCTACCCCATGTACTACTGATAACAGCTAGTACTTCTCATGTATTTGGTATGTTCTAGGATCAGTTTCTGCATTAGGAAAGATTTCTCTCAGATGCCAAACATCTACCTTTCAAAAGTCTTCTGCTGACTTCCCAGTGATCCTGTTTAACTCTAGTTACATGTACGTAATTCAGTAAGACGAATTAATGAAAACTGGAAAAAAATCTAAGCTTAAACAAAGAGGAAGTTAAGAGCGACCTAGTCTTCCTCAATAGTTACTCAAGCTTTTGATTTACCCTAAAGGCACCAAAGCACTTGAGGTAATGAGAATGGGTCATCAGCGTCATCCGACGCTACGCGTGACTGCCGATGACCTAAAGATTCAAACAAATCTGACTCAGAACAGGAAGATTTAGACTCACACTATGCCATACTATGCCATACTAAAGAAAAAAGTAGTAAAGAATTTTAAAGTTCAATGCAAGTTCCATATTGAATGTACTTAATTAAATGCAGCATTTTCACTCTAAAAACTTTTATGAAGTCAATGATCTGTCCTACAAATAATGCCATAGGACATCATCACTGAATGAAAAACTGACAGTTCTAGAACCTCCTTAGAATAGCACAGAACAATGCTGGAATGTAAGTATGTGAATCTGGCATATCAATGCTATAAAAATTACAGAATCACTGCCATGATCTATGTTTCTTACTCTGAAACCTCTTCTGAGTTGCTCCCCTGATTCAGGAGTGTTTTGTCCTCTGTTTGTTGTAAACCGGACTCAAAAGGCTTTGCTGTCATGACGACACTTGAACGGTTGGACCCTGGAATGGGTAGCAGAGCTGGAAATGGGATGGAGCGGCCCCGTGTGTCATTGGCAACCTTGACAGTGTCAAATACCCGTTTCTGTTGGGCTCTGTCAAAAGAGAAGCGTTCATTATTGCCACTGCCCGTCACTGGAGTGCTTTAGAAGAGACATGTATATGCAATTCATTAAAAATAAAGCCACCTTGACTAGCCTCTAAACTTTAGGAGAAATTATTAGAAAGTAACCTTCAGGACAAGAGAGTGCTCTTACAGATGGGAGCACCATGAAAGAAACCTTGAATACTAAGCAGATTCACAATTGAATCTCAAAATACCTATCACTTAGGACTGGCTTCTTTTTAATTGCATCCCAATACCTGGGGAATAATGCATGTGATCTGTACTTACTTTTGTTTAAAGAGAGAAGATTCCTCATCCAAACTCAACTTTTTACGCATGGTCCCCTCAATCTCAGCTGCCAAAGATTCCTAAGAAAAAGAGTTTGAGATTCCTATAATGATTATGTATGTAAGAAGCCTGTTAGGAGAAATGAATTATCCTTAAATTAATTAATAGAGTCTCCAGAATCCAATACATCTGGTGTTAGAATAAAAGAAAACACAAGAAAATAGTCACAGGGCAAAATGCAAGGAAAAAAGAGATATTTTGGATATTACTTTTTACAAGAGTAACTTTTAACAAGAACCAACTTCTTTTTCACGATGTATTTTTAGGAGAACAGTGGAAAAAACCAACATGATAAATAGAAAATATTACATAGGGAGACACAAAAAAACAAAAGGTCTGAAAAGCTATAAACCAAAATGCCAATAATGATTCTCTGGAAGTTAGGATTTGATGGTACTTCATAAATTCTTTTTGCTTCTTTTAATTTCTAACTTTCCTATGATAAACATGTATAGCTTTAAAATGTAGAAAAAACATCCAAGGAAAAATAAGCAAGTTCCCCCTTTCCCTGGTCAGAGATGAGGATTCAGCTAGCATGGGTGCCATGCTTAGCAAAGCTGAGCTGACAAGGAGTAGAATGGGAGACACTGGTGTGAACTCATGCTTTTAAATATATAGAGATAGAAGAACATGAATATGGATGGAGACATATATATTGATGTGTTTGAGTGGGTGTACATGTATGAATGCACATATATTTCCTAGCTCTATCTGTTGAGCAGGCCTAGACCTATAACACTCTAGTGGCAATGGATACATAGGACCAGATCTTGAATTCTAAAACTAACCAGACCTCCCTGGAGAAATGGCTGATTCCAGGACTGGGACAGGAAAAGATAAGATAAGTTTTAAAGGATATCCCTGGCCATATCTGGAACAATTTGCTCCATATCTGGAACAATTTGAATAACAAGTATCAAAATAAAAAAAACCAGTAATAACAGATTATGATCTACTAACTAAAATAGGAATCCAAGAGTCCACATGGACATAACTAAATGAACAAATGAATAAATAAATGAGGCAGAAATGGGGGGCCTTGGTGGCTCAGTCGGTTGAGCGTCTGACTCTTGATTTTGGCTCAGGCCATGATCTCAGGGTTGTGAGATCAAGCCCTGTGTCGGGCTCCATGCTGGATGTGGAGCCTGCTTAAGTTTTTCTCTGTGCACCCCCCAACACCAACAAACAAACAAACGAATGAATAAATGACACAGAAAGGCTCTGACAAAAGAATGTCGATTAATAAATGTAAAAAAAATGATGGAATTAGAAAATCACCATTTGGCAATCATCATAGTAATAACTGAGTTAGATATAAACTACCACTGAGTATTAAAACTAGTGGATAAATGTTTGCTGAGAAAAACAGGATATTTAAATAGTCTCAAAGTATAGTATCTTCTCATAAAAGAGTAACTTTGACCACTTGGCTAAACTAGCATCTGTCAATTTTCATCATTGTAAAGTTAATTAGTAACATTAATTTAATTAACTATCAATTAGCATTGATTAACTTTAGAGTGGGAAAAGCTGGCAGATGCTAACATTAACCTAGTGATCAAAATTAATTAACATCATCAGTAACGGGATTAAATAGACAATGTGAGCCTCCTATTACAGTGTACTGAGAAGAACATGGCAATATTTCTGCCAAAAATACAATGCCTGAATCTAATCAACAGATAAATCCAAACTGAGGACATTCTATAAAGGTCATGAAAGGCAAGCAAAGACAGAACAAGTGTCCCCAGTTGAAACAACCAAATGCAACATATCCTTCAAAGGACATTGTTGGGATTGCTGGCAAAATTTAAATGGGCTCTGTGGATGAGATGATAGTATTATATATCAATGACAATTTCCTGTCATTGACAAATTATATTTGACAGTTATAGTATGGTTATGTAAGAGAGTGTCCTTATTCTTAGTAGATACACACTGAAGTATTAGGAGTTAATAGGGTCTATAGGTAACTTACTGTGAAGTGGCCCAGAAAAAAAAAAATAAGAGAACGATATGGCAAATGTAGTAAAATGTTAAAAACTGAGGAATCTAGGTAAAGGATATATGAGACGATATATTTTTGTACTATTGTTGCAGTATCAGTCTAAGTTTAAAATTATTTCAAAATAAAAAGCTAAAAAACAAAAATCCTGCTCCTATATTTTTTTTTTTAAATCTACTGTATAGTTTGATTTTAAAAAAATTTACAGTATTGCTTATAAGTATTTATGAACTAGACTGTTAAAATAATTCTTTGAACCAGTATTACAGATTTTGGCATAAACTCACAAGTTTTCATTAATTTCTTTAAACCAAAAAATACTATATTGTGATGAATTAAACAAACATGAATCCTGCCCTCATGGTGCTTACACTCTAATTGGAGTTAAATATATCAAGAAACTCAAGATCTGTGGAAAGAAGTTTTAGATGTTCAGAGTTCTATTTGAATCAGTGGGCCTAGGGTAAGGATGACCCAAGTTTAAGTAGCTCTTTGGTACACAGACCTAAACCTAATTGCCTTAGGGTGTATCTTATACATTACAATAAACTGGATGGATGTCTGTTAGAAGAAAGGTTGCAATAAATAAGAGTATTAAGGTAGATGTAAATATGTAAATCAAGGCCTAAATCAATAAATGAATTCCAGAAACAAAGATAAACCATGTTATTTCTTCTCAAGATACTTTATAACACCAGAAACCATATCACTCTCAGAACAATCTAAACTTAAGCAAGCTTCCTTAAACAAGTAACATATGTCCCAGAAAACTCACCCCAGAAAAAGCTCCATATGACTGTGAGAAGTAGAGATGAGCAGCAGGGCCAGATCTACTTCGAAGTTCCTTTATTTCCTCTTGGGATTCATGTAACATTCCCAGACACTCCATGTTCCTGTCTTGTAACTCATGCAGCTGAAAAAAAGGATGGTAACTGGTATACTTCACTATATTCTCAACATGACAATGGGGAAAATAAACCCCACTGGGATTAATTTTATCCAGAGGGCTAGATAACTTTATGAATATAATTTCAACAGAAAAGCCCTAAAACAAACTAAGCAAGGAGAGTGTGTATACACACACACACACACACACACACACACACACACACACACACAAGATCTTACAGAGGAATAATAGCTATGGGTCAAGTTAGGTTTAGCATAATGTTAATATAATAACATATATAATATTATATTATATTATATATTATATTATATATAAATATATATAATTATATAAATATATATAATATATAATTATAATATATATTATATAAAGTATATAATTATAACAATATAATAACATTAATAATAATAGTGCATATTTTTATATGTCACTCTGAAATGACACTCTGAAATGATAAGATCAAGTCTATAAAGTATTATATACGTTGTCAGGATGTTCAATTATCCCAAACAAGTAGTTTCTCCTCCCTTGTTTCAGAATCTTCTTTATATATATAGGTACACAAGCATGGTAAAAGAGTATATAACTTTCAGAATATATATATATTTTTAAAGATTTTATTTATTTATTTGAGAGAGAGAGAGTGAGAGAGAGCACAAGCAGTGGGGAGGGGCAGAGGGAAAGAGAGAAGCAGACTCCCCACCGAGTAGGGAGCCCAATGTGGGGCTGGATCTCAGGACCCTGGGATCATGACCAGAGCCAAAAGCAGACACTCAACTGACTGAGCCACCCAGGTGCCCTTTTCAGAGTACATTTTAACTTCAAAAATTTCTTCAAGTGTGGTATGTGGACTGGATCATGCAGATTCTAGACCTTTACTATAAAACTACTCTACTGGAAGCTTTTGGCGACTGTGCCCGGGAATCTCATTTATAACTAATTTTGCCAGGTGATTCTTAGTGTATGCTAGGGGACCACCAAATTATATCTAATACACAGAATTTTTATATAGATAAAAAGTAAAGAGTTTTGGTGTTTCTCCTGACATATCTGCAAAAACACTTATCATAAGAAATTATTTTAAAAACTGTTGGATTAAGGTAGACTAGTAAAAGGGTCACATATGCCTAAAGAATCTTACAAAAGACAAGATTTTCTCTATTAATCAAGAAAGATGTCATGTTATTAATTTTAGGGACAGAACCTTTAAATTGCTTTACTTCTTAGATCTCAAAATTTAACCTTATTCTTTTGTTGTTATTTAAAATCTGGTAATCACCTTTAATCATTCTTGGTCATTAAGATGAAAGAAACTATTTCTTCCTCCCCCCCAAATATTGCACAGGACAAAGGAAGAGCTGCTTACCTCCATTGTCAGCTGTCTTTGGGCATCTTTGGAAGCTTGTAGGTGAAGTCTCAGTTCCTCCTTCTCAATCACATGCTAATAACATATTAAAGGAGAAAAATGAGCCTTCCCATGTAACATATGGGCTACTCTACCTTTTTTAAAGACATCTTAAGAGTATCTCTCAGGGGTAAGGTCCAGAAGCCTATAAAATCTAACCTTTCAGAAGCCAAATAAGAGCAATAAATAGGCAGAATATAAACTCTTAATTAAGATGTTCAGAGGTCAATGAGCATGAGTCACTAATTCATATCATAGTTTTCTAAGGAAAATATAACCCTACTTGACAGACAGAAATAGTAACTTGGAAGAAGTTATTCATGTATTTCGTGACGAGAAAGCCTACACTCAGCAGTCGGACTATAGCACCGTAGAGGGGTAGGGAGCGCGCTTTGCTTAATGTATCTAGCACTTAGCAGAGGGCATGGTATGAGGCCAGTGCCAAACAAACATCTGTTGAATGAACGAATGAACCTACTTCTTTAACTTTGTGTTGAAGATCCACAATTTGAGACAAGAGAGAGGAGATCTCTTCCTGGTACCGAATGAGTTCATCACTCTTCCCAGACAGTTCTTCAGTCATTCTGGACATCTGAGCATTTGTTTCACCTGGGCAACAAAAGAGAAATTCAAAAATCAATATAAATGGAGGGTAAGGGTTGGCAAACTATGTCCTGTAGGCTAAATCCTATTTTATAACAAGCACTGGAGTATATGACAAATAGATTTGTAACATAAATTTAAGAAATAAACCCAGATAATCGAGTAGAAGAAAATAAAGGGTCTTCTGAAATAGGCCAATGTGGAGGACTGGATAGGAGGCAATGAAGCCAAAAGAGATGACTTGTAAAGGCAAGCAAGCGCAAAGTTTCAATCTTTTTCTGAAGGCTGAAGAGAGGTGGATTATATATGTTCTGAAGTACCAAGACATCACCTCATATATGTGTTTGAGAACTCTTCAGGGACATCAATAATTTCCCACAAGCAACAAAAATTAAACTTAACAAATCTAACAAAGGAACATTTCCAAATGAAACAGTCACAATCTGTTAAAGCTATGGAGATGCTTCTGTACAAGACAGACTTTCCAGGATAGCTAGCAAACCAAGCAAAGCCTCGGAAGCAATCCCTAGAGCCTAGCATTCTTACATGCACATAAAATAGAACCTTTAGAATTCCATGGAAGAAGGAAATTTTGCTTATAAAAACTCAGACATCAAACACAAGTGGCAAAACTATTTCTCAGTGTTATATAAAACTATTTAAAAATTGACAGAAGGTCTATAACATTTCAAAGGATGGCAATTAGGAGGCAGAAGACTGGGATCTAAGCTGGTGGGCAAGTCATTTCCTCTTTGGTGTTTAGAGCACAAAGGTTGCATGATGGAGCTCTGATGGAGAAGATTCAATTGACATTTTTTCTGGTTCTCTAACACTGTCCTTCTAAGCTATCTCATTCTGACGCCCACGGCCCAGATGAACAGGCATGATGTTTCCTATCTTCTCTTTCAACATAAAAGGTTATATATTTATAGAGAAATTAGGTATCTTTCTCTAGTAAAGCCTTTTTCTAGCTGATTTATTTTTACAAATTATTTTTAATCAACAATATCAAACCAAAATACATTGTTATAGACATATAGCTGGCACTTAAATACTCATTAAATGTCAAGTTTTATGCCATCATTTAAGCCCTGCTCTGCCACTTATCAGTTTTCTAACTTTGGCAAACTATATTCTTTGTATAGTCTATAGGACTATTTCCTCATCGACAAAATAAAAGCTTCAATTCCTTTCACTCTAATGTGCTATAATTGATAGAAATCTAGGTCTTTCTTTAATGATGATGGCAATTTGAAATAAAGATATTTCTTAAAAGTACATATGATGTTTTGTTTAGAGTTGTGGGCTCAATGTGATATTCCAAGATTTTCAGTAACTTTTTTTTTTTTTTTAAAGATTTTATTTATTTATTTGTCAGAGAGAGAGAGAGGGAGAGAGAGCGAGCACAGGCAGACAGAATGGCAGGCAGAGGCAGAGGGAGAAGCAGGCTCCCTGACGAGCAAGGAGCCCAATGTGGGACTCGATCCCAGGACACTGGGATCATGACCTGAGCCGAAGGCAGCTGCTTAACCAACTGAGCCACCCAGGCGTCCCAGATTTTCAGTAACTTTTAAAAATTATTTCTTGAGATGCCTCTACTGAAACCACTGATTTAATTTCTGAGTTGGTGATATACCACCAAAGAACTGTCCAAAAACTATGAAATAAAATGTGTTAATACATACGAAGTTCTTTAACACAGTCATTGACAAGCTGTTGTTCCTTCTCTTCATAGGTAATAGTTTCTGTCTTTATGTGACAAGCCTTCAAGAAAAAAAAAATCAGTCTGTGATAGTATCTTCCAATGACTTTACAGTATTAACTTTAAAAACCTTTAATTCTCATTTGAAGGAAAGACAAAATCCAAAAAGTTTTATCTAAAATAAAGTTATGGGACAGGATGTGACAAATATCTTCCCCTTATTCCTCTCAGGGCCTTTGCACATGCCTACTCATTCCCCCCTTGTACTCCCCTTTTCCATACTTTTCTGCCTCACTAATCCCTAGCCTCTGCTAAAAAGTCACTTACTTATTAGGTAGGACTCTGATTTCCCCCCGGTTATACAAGTTCAGGAAACCCTGTAATTTTCCAACATAGTTCTTATCACAGTTGTAATTATTTAGTTATTTTGTGTAAACTCCATAAGACATTTATACCATGCTGTGGATTTCTCTATTTCATCTATCAGCTTGCTATTATCTACTCATCAATGAATGGGATCTAAGTGACAATGAAAGACAAATACACATGCTTTGGCTGTCACCCCCTAATTGGAATGTCAATAGCAAATCCTTAGTTATGCCATATTTTACCTCAGCGCTACATGGACCTAAATCTAAAGGTAAAGGAAAGTGGGAATTAGTGGGAAAGTGGGTATGTGCCTTGGATCGAAGAGCCATATTCTCCTCTTCCAGTTCCTTGAGTTTTTCTTGCAGCATGTCCAACTGTAGCAAACCTTGGGATAAGCTGAAGGACTCATTGAACCGGAGGGGTGTAGAACAGCTGGAATCCGTTTCACTCTCTTCAGAAGCAATAGAAACAATTCGAAGTAATTCATCTTTCTTGGACAGCTCATGCTGCAGTTGATTAACCTGCACATCAAAGGGTTTGATCTATAAGATGTTTCCATGTAACACTGCTTTTATTTCATGGAGCAATTGTTTCTTACCACAAAATAAAATCCATAAAATCAGTTGGTAGATTTTACTGACTAAAGTGTTAAAAAGAGAATAACAAACTTCAGATACTTTCTAAGATACAATGTTAGAGCATTAACTCAACCAATATAGCTTTTTCTGTGCTAGATGAGAAGCCAATTTTTATATTCAATATAATAAGAATGTAGGAAGAAAATTTCACGTAAGATGATACATTCACACTTAAAAACAAAACAAAACTAAAAACCCTTCAAAGGTCAAAATAGACCCTTCCTTCAAAGTCTCATTTAAGCTTTTAAGTATAACTCTGCATGACTTCCTAACTTTAGTTTTAGAAAATACATATTTTCAACTTAAAGGTTCAAATGTTATTAGATATAATGCATTTATAAAATATAAATGAAACCAGAAAATAACAAATTATAGGAAATTTTAAATGTAACCATCCAAGTTAACAATAAATCAGTTATCACGAAAGAATATTTATTACATAAAATAAATTTTTTCACCTTTTCCTTTTGTTTGGATTTTTGAATAAAGATACCTCATTTGGGTATCTATTATTCAGGGTTATTTTTAAAAATAAATTTAAGGTAAGATCACACAGAAAGTCTACATAAAGGGAGGAGGAAAAAGTATTAGAATCTAAGCAGGGTGCCTCATGTTTGGTAGGTACTGAACATAGGCTTTTATCTTGACTAAAGTCGAGTCCCATGAGCTCACCTCTGCACAGTAACACTTCATTTCTCTACTGGTTGGTTCAATGGCCACCAACAAAGACAAGGTGCGCTGGTGTTATTTACCTACCTACTGTTACCACTTCAGGGGCACCCAGAAAATAAATTTCTTCATTGCCCAACAAGTAATTATTTCATGCTACAAATACTTGATCAAAGACTTACTTGATCAAAGGCTTGTCCCAGCTGCTCCTCCAGAGCTTCATTCTGCTCAGACAAGACATGGTTCCGTTTTAAGAGGGCTTGTCCAATTCGAGCAGCTAGCTCCAGATCACGATCTCTCTATTAGAACACCAAACACATCTTTTGAGTACAAACAAAATTAAATGGTAGTTTAGAAATTCTTCAGTTTCCCTAAACTCAAAAACAATGTCCTAGAAAGCATCAAGATTTATTTTAGTGTCCAGATATCACAAATAAGGGCCTGACACACTGGTGGTGTTTAATATATGTTGGTCAAATGGGCGGCCACCAGAGTTATAAATGAAAGACTGTATTTCTTTTTAAGTGAGATTTATTCATCACCCGATTAGAATCAAACAACCCAACCTTTAAACTTATGATTTGGGGAAATTAAAAAATCAATAGGGTCTTTAAAAAATGAAGACAGGGCCTGGCACACAGTGAAAGCCCAACAGACATTTGCTGAATGCATTTGCCTATTATGCACAGTAAGGATATAGTATGTATGATGACGACAGTTCCAGTGAGGGCAAAGTCTCAATGTATTCAGAGCCAGAGCTTAAAGGAAAGCATAACCAAGAACCGTACTGTCAACTGTTGCAAAAATGATAATGTGAGATAAAAGAGGGGTTGACAGAGTAGAAGTTCTGAGGCTACAGGTTCTGCTAAAGCATGAAGAAAGGAGTTTAAAGAAGTCGGTGGTAATGGCGCAGGGAGGCCTACAGAAAAGCCAAGCCAAGCAAGAGTTACTCCTACGTAGACGTGATACACAGCAAGCATGCGGGAATCCCACCTACGTGGTGGTGGTGAGGACAGTATTCTATGATAGAAACTGTCAATACACATCTAGCTGCCTTACGTATGAGCATGGATTCCACTTACAGTAATCACTGTAAATAAAATTAAGCTTCTATCCTTTTGCTCTAAAACATATGAAAACAGCTGGATGAATTATCTCCAAACTTTCAAGGTCCATTTATCTCACTGCCAGTATAGGCTAAGTGGCATACACAACATCATTCTGGGGAGCTGCAGGGAGAGGGGAGAAGGGTACTTCGAAGAGAAAGTTTCTGTAAGATCAACTGAAGGTGATGTATACTGAGACACCTCTAAGAATGCCAGCCGGAAGAGAAACATGGCACATATCAAAAATGTCATGGACAAACTGAGCTCAAACAACAGTCCGAACTGAAAGGAAAAAAGGGAAGATGCTGGGGCGCCTGGGTGGCTCAGCGGGTTAAGCATCTGCCTTTGGCTCGGGTCATGATCCCAGGGTCCTGGGATCGAGCCCCGCATCTGTCTCTCTGCTCAGCAGGGAGTCTGCTTCCCCCCTCCTCTCTGCCTGCCTCTCTCCCTACTTGTGTGCTTTCTCTCTCTCTCTCAAATAAGTAAAATCTTTTAAATAAAAAAAAATAAATAAAAAATAAATTTTTAAAAAAAGGGAAGATGCTGTGAACTGCTGGTACTGATTTGCAATGGAGATTATCCCTGAATGGGCACCTCTGCTGCAGGGAAATAGCAAGGATTTATTAAACAAAACAAAACAAAATAAAACTCCTTTTTTAAGATAGGGATAGGGAAGCCAGCACCATTATAACAACAACAAAAATTAAACCGTCTGCAACTTCCTAACAATAAACTCCAGGAGCCATTCTACTTCGGAATGCCAGTTGGTAATGTCCGTCCACTTATAACAACCTTATACAAAATAACCCAGAGCAAAGGTATCACTGTTTTTTATTTGATCCCCAACCTTGACAGATTTTAAATGACTGTTCAGTTTTAGTGCCACAGAAAGAGAAGATGGATTCTTACCTCTGCCAGGAGGTGTGTGACCATGTCGATATCATTGTAAGTTTTGGTCATCTGCTCCACTCTGTCTGTGCCTAGAACTAAGATAGTTAAAAACAACTGTTTATAGTATTTGGAAATACAAGAAAGTTTTAAATATTTGTAAGAGTTGGAAAATAACAACAAAAAACCCAGGCTTTTACAAAAAGTCATTCAGGGGAATAAAATATATGTGAAAGAAGAAAAGAAATGTTTATGTATTAGACACTCAGGAAATAGACCAATAATTACAACCAAAATGTACATCATACAATGAATTAAGGAAGTTCTCAAATTATCATAAGGCAGCCACTTCCTGACTATCTCCTCTCCTCCAATAAGAACTTTGGTCCACTCACACTAAAGACTGTGGGCCTGAAGAAGAATGGATTAAATCACCGATTGTTTCATGGCCCAAAGTTCCCAAGGGGTAAGTTAGTGAGGGGTTGTGTTATTACAAACATATTTAATTAGAATTCTGTTGTGATTATGTTGAATATCTGTGATCACCTATTATGTGAGCTAATATCAATAAACAAGGAATGGACTTGTAGGCCTTTTTGTAGTTCTGTTATGAAGTATAATCTTTTTTGGCTTAATTAAAAACTTTCTGAAAATTGCCACCATATGTTGGTCTCTACTATAAAATAAACTACAGGGGCGCCTGGGTGGCTCAGTGGGTTAAAGCCTCTGCCTTCAGCTCAGGTCATGATCTCAGGGTCCTGGGATCGAGCCCCACATCGGGCTCTCTGCCCACCATCTCTCTCTCTCTGCCTACTTGTGATCTCTGGCTGTCAAATAAATAAATAAATAAATCTTTAAGAGAAACTGTATATTACATTATTATTTGCATAATTTAAGTCCAGGATTTCTGCATTAAATTCAGGAACTGTCAATGCATTGAATAGTATAGCTCCAAAGAGAATGACTAGCATGACCCCAATGATTCCACAGTCACAATAAGCGATACCCTTTTAAGCTAAGGTTGCATACTAAAAGAGGGATTAAAAAAAAAAGATTTTATTTATTTACTTAACAGAGAGAGATACAGCAAGAGAAGAACACAAGCAGGGGGAGAGGGAAAGGGGAAAGCAGGATCCCCACTGAGCATGGAGCCCAATGTGGGGCTCGATCCCAGGACCCAGGGATCATGACCCCAGCCGAAGGCAGATGCTTAACCCACTGAGCCACCCAGGAGCCCCAGGACATGTATTACTTTTATTTGAGCTTTTTATTTTCCTTTCTAGCAAAACTCCTTAAAATGAATCTGGGACTTACCTGGAACTTAATTATTAATGACATCTTATTCCTAGCTAAAAGTAAAACAAAGTGCTGGATTAATAGTAATAGGAGATAGAAACTAAAAAGATCTGGAAAGAAACATTTTTATCCCCAAAGCATCTATATTTATAAGTAGAAAAACTGGCTCCACAAGTTAACCACAGGAGAAAGAGAAACAGGCTTTTGGGCCAAAGGAATCTTCATAATTTACTTACCGTGTGAGGTCTCCATTATTTCTGGCCTCAGTAAGATGAGACAAAAACATCAAATCGTATCTATGTTCTAAATTAATTATAGAAAACCAGCCAATGGTTGCAAAGTTTAATGTAACCTAGGGTGGTGGGTCTTATCTCTAGATTCTAATTTAATTGATTTGCAGGAGCCCCAGGGCACATGCAGGAAGTGAGAGACACCCACGGGTTCTGACGGGGAGCTACCAATGAAAACTACCAATTCAGAAGTTAACACTCGAAGCAAGAATCAGGAATCCTAGAAACTCAGTTAAAAACAGTTTTTATAAAACTAACCAGAACAATATATGATATAGTCGATACGACAAGACTGACCAGAGTTGAAGGTAAAATGGTAAATTTATTTTGAAGTAAATTAAGGCTGTAATAAGGAGCCCGTGAGTTAAAAGTCGCACATGAAGAAAGGGGAAGAGAAAATAAAGGACACAGTAATACAGAAAAGAGATGTTTAGAATAAAAGATGTTTTAATGAGGAGAAACGAATAACAGTGAGAATAATAATGAGGTAATAACAACTTCCATCTCACAGGGTCATAAAAAAAAACCTGGGTCTGCTCATTCTCAGTAATGGGCTCTTTGCACCATGCTGCTGTTCCTGTCACAGTCCCACCGGGATCAGAAGGCCTTTACCTGATGAAATAACCAGTATCCATCTGCGAATGCAGGTTACAAAACAACATAGATCCCAATCTTGTTTTAAAATTGTGAGCATCTCTTGTATACATATGGATATAGAAGAGAGGCTAGAAGGATACACGTTAAAATATCATAGTGGTTATCTCTGGGTATGGATTATGGTTGATCTCTTGTTTTTTTTTTTTAATCTTTTGCTAAATTTTCCATGAAGAAATCAAAATTTTTTTGCAATCAAAAAATAGCAGCTCTTGTTCAGAGGTTTCAAAAACAAAAATGAATTTTCAAATGCTTAAATATTTATTACGGCAAAGAAGTTAGATAAGGCAACCAGAATTCTCCAATTTTTGTTGTCTGTGGAATAGTGTCTATCTGTGCTACTGAGCCCCAAAGCTGGGCCACCTCAATTGCACAGAGCAGCTCAATTAATGTCAGTCAGTCGCAAAGCACATAGAAATGCAATGAATTCCTCCTTGTAGGCTCATCAGTTCTGTCTTCTCTTCCTTAACACAGTCCCCTTGGTAGATACGTTGCTTGGAAGATTCCAAAAGTACGCTGGGCAAATCTCTTAAGTGTTCTCTTGGCATTTAGGCATTGTAATTAAATGATGCCAAAGTGAGAGTCTAATTCTGCTCTGTAACTCTGTAACCAAAAATGGAGAGCCAAGCAGACTGATTTTATTATAATCAATTCTATCAAATCCTATCTTCCTGTCAGTTCTCAGCTGTTAAAATAAAAATGTTACATAGTATAGAAATTAGCAACCTTCCTGGTTTACAGACAGGAAACTCCTAACTCTTAAAAAATTTTTATATATTAGGGGAGATGATAAACATTTTTACAGAACAATTTTGCAAGTTGGTTTTCAAAGGCAGTTGATTAATGTTCAACATTTTTGGTGTAAGATTTGGAGAACCTGATGTTTCTGAAAAAATATGGCAGGGGGGGAGAATATACATAAGCACTTTATCAGTCCTTTAAGTTCTAACTCTTCATAATTTCCCATTGACCACTCAACCTCACATATTTTTCAGGATAGGAAGGGCCCATGTTAATCCATTTTGATATCTCTGTCATGAGATGGTGCCTGATAAGTCTCTCATGTGTCTCTTTTCAAGGTCTAGAGTTTTTACAATTATTGAAATTTAAGAAGACTTCTAATCTCTCTAACCCTCTTGCAGCAAAAAATCAAAAACAAAGCAACAAAAAACAAAAATGAAACACCAAGAGCCCACATGGCATAGTCAAAGCCGCAAGAGCTCCTGGTAACTACAGACAGGACTTCCGGTTTCAACCCCGAAGATGCCGCTCTTGCTGCTGTAATCTGGAGAATGCTTCTGCAATGCAACAAACGGCCTTCAAAAGCACTGAGAACAGAGAGAAGGTGTCTGGTGATTTATACCATCTGGGATAGCCTTTCTCAACAGGGTTCCAGGGGAGAATTAAGCCCTACATACAATGATATGAGTGAGACAATTTTCTCAAAACTCCCACAGATACTACTCAATAGATGTCTTGGCGCATACGACTTAATTATTTTGTGGAATTGGCTGAGAGGAAATATAAATATGTTAACCTCCATGATCTGATTTACAGCTACTGCTTCCTGAACATTATCAGTTATATTTCTTTTCCTGCCAGTATAGATTAATAATTTTTGGGAGCAGACCTTGAGGAAAAGCATAACCAGAAGTAATTATTTCTACAACTTTTTTGTAGAAATTTTTGTATTTCTCTACAAAATTGTGCTCCCTCCCTAATTCCTTAAATTCTCCAATGAACATCACTATGAAATGGCCATATAGCTTTGGATGACAATGCTTTGTGCCGGTGGTTCTCAGATGTTAGGACTTGTTAAAACAGGAGGACTCTCAGGAAGACTTGTTAAAACACAGACTATGCTATTCTCCACTTCCAGAATTTCTGATTCTGCAGATCTGGGGTAGAGGCCCAAGAATTTGTATTTCTAACAAGTCCCCAAGTGATGTCGAGCTCTTAACTAAAACTTACAAGACTATGGGGCGCCTGAGTAGCTCAGTGGTTAAATGTCTGCCGCCTTCGGCTCAGGTCATGCTCCCGGACTCCTGGGATCGGGCTCCCTGCTCCGCAGGAAACCTGCTTCTCCCGCTCCCACTCCCTCTGCCTGTGTCCCCTCTCTCGCTGTGTCTCTCTCTGTCAAATAAATAAAGTCTTTAAAAAAAATAAATAAAAAATAAAACTTGTAAGACTAATCATTTCCCCCCAACCCTTTTTTCTTATGCATTAGAAAGTGGTACGGGTGATCCCTTTTTTTCAAATAAAAAATACCCTGAAAGGCAGATCGGGCTTCTTTCTATTTTTAGCCTTTCCATGAACAAATGGCACTTCCTGTAATGATGTGCTCTGACTGCATTGCTCACCCCATAGCTCACTCTGGGTCTCTCTCTTAATAAAATTAAGGAAATCCTGAAATGACTTGTTCTGTATGCAAAATATTCTCTGAGTACCTTAAAAATTATTCATGGCAGGGACTGGGACGGAATTATTTTTTTGGACCCACCCACTGCTCTCAAGTGTTCTATTTTAAAAGTAAACAATCTCTTTCTGGTTTGGTGAGGGCTCCAGAGAAACCCAGTATTCTTTCAGCCATCCGAGGTAGGCTCCCAACCCAAATCCCTGCCCATGCTTCCTTCTAAACTTATTTTTCTTCTCACAGCTCTTTCCACTTCTCTGTGTTACAAAAGAAAGTGCCTCTGCCTGTGCCACCTCTTTTTATTAGCTGTTAAAATGCATTTTATGGAGCAGGAGTACCGACTGGTATGTGAGGGAAGTAGGGATAAGAAGAGGCTGAAGTAGTACCAGAGAGCTAAACCCAGGACGGCCTATGAGGGTGCATAATGATTATTCACAACCACAGATCTTGGCATCTCAAAGGGACAGAAAACTGCTGGAAAGAGTCAGAGAATGTTTTGTATCTTGGCTTTTTAAAACATTGATCACTTTGCTAAATAAATAAAACCACTTATCTTTTACATTCATAAGATGCAAATTCAAAATGAAGTGTATTTATATTTGAGTGAACTGGTAACCCAAAGAATTGATATCTTTAAAATAACAGTGAAATTGAGGCATAGTACCGAGATAAAGAATTAGCAGGCTAATTATAATCCTAGCTTATTTGCTTCAGCATCTTAAGTATATCATACGTAGTTCAATTTTCAAATTGTTGAAGTGAAAATAGTACCTTTAGACTAAAGGATGAGGATACTTTTCTGGACCCTGGAAGTATGGGTCTGTAACATCCTATTAATCTTAAGTTTTAAATTGCTTCCTTGAACATCATGATTTACTTTGTATAAAGTCCTGAAAACCAAGTATTTTAGGATTTGATTATAATTTATTTTCCAAAGAAGTTTATTTTTATTTAAAATTCTTCCTAAAAGTAACTCCATGAAATTATGATAAGACAGCTTTTCCAACTACAGTTCCATCCTCTAACGGCATATATGACAAGAAAAAGTAAACTAAGGGGCACTTTCTGTGCCACTTTATCAAAATAATGACAGAAACTAAACTTATCCTGATGAAATTTCTGTTTGAATTTTCTTCTCACAAATCTAAAAATGAATGGAACAAAGAGAAATGGAAACAGAAAACAAGCACGTCTCAGAAAATCTCAAGCAAGCAACTTCTCAAACTTGAAAGTTAAGAAAACCTTAAGAGCTTTAATATTCAGTTACTTATAAGAATTATTGAGGAAGAAATAGTTTTATTTGAGTTTCCTGATATTCTAATTCAAGTTTAAACAATGTTTACAATTTTTTTTTTCCTGAGTAAAGTAACCTGGTTTTAGGAAAACTACTGTTAAAAGCAAGTTAATGCTTACTGTGAAAATTAGTATTTCACAACAATCATTAAAGACACTGAAGCACTCACTGGGAAAAGGTTTAGGAACTGATGCAATGTCATATCTATCCCAAATGAGAAGAATTTTACAAACATACTAATGTTGAACTTAGAGACTTTTATTATATATCCTAGTAGCTACTATGAACAAAACATTTTTATAATGAATGCATTAAAAAAAGTCAGCTCATCCTGAAGCAGATGTTTGGAATGAGGTCAAAAGCAAAAAGGTCTCCATTACTTCAATTATTAAAACTACTTATGTATTCAAAAACCACGCTTCTTAGTGACTGACCTCGTTCCTGTGAGAGTGTTTAACAGGAAATACAAAGTAAGATAGCTGATGGCTCCGGATATCAAGCTACTGGGATAATAAATGTTTTGAGATATAAAGGGACATTAAAATTTTCAAATAAAATTTCAACTACTTTTTTTTAAGTTCCTTTCTCTATTCAGCCTGAGAAAAGTATCAAATAAATAAAAAGTATCAAATAAAAGTATCAAATCAAATATCAGGAAACATGTGATTATTGCTTGCAACCCCAGACACTCAGAGTGATAAACTCGCTGCATTCAGACATAACACAGAATCATGTCTTTGTGCTGTGAAATCAGTTTGAGTTAAAGAAGGTACACAGTGAACAAGGTCTAGGGATGCCAAATGTTTTAAAAGTCAACACCGAGATGCTTATGATCTTAATCTCAATGGGCAAAGTCTAAAAGGGTAAAAAAAATACTCACTCATATAATGGAAAGTCTCTTCAGCAAGGACTGGAGAGAGGGCATCAGGCGCATGCTGCTGCTGGCGTGGAGACTGAGTCCAGTCTTGATTTTCGTACAGAAAGAGAGAGTCTACTCTTAGCTTATACTGGGGTAGCTGTTCTTCCAGCAGACTCACCAGCTCAACTTCAGGGAGATCCTCATTGGAGCAGACATCTAAAGAGGAGAGTCCATGTAAATGAAGCCAAAATATTCCAACTTACCAGGCTACAGAGAAAACATCAGTGAAATTAGTTTGCAAAAATAGGATAACCAAAGAAACACTAGCCAGGATAATTTCTCCAGTGATTTTTATTAATATGTGTTGGTCTACAGTTGGTCTTTCTCTAGGTTTCTTTAATATGAAAAGTTCTATAATAAAAATAATACCATGAATTTTAATTATACCTTACTTAAAAATATATTGCTTGGTGACTATAGCTATGTTTTTAAAAACTAAAATGAATTTGAACAAATTTCTTATCTCCTCCTTATCAGTCTATTTAGTGTTGCTTAAAAGAGAGCTGATCTCAAATAACATATATGCTTGGGGGGGGAAAGGCAATACAAAACAATGAGCAGAAAATAGTTCAAAAGGAATAAAATGATGTATTCTTTAATAACAAAATTTGAACGCTTTCGAAGAGTCTTCAAAATTTGGAAAAATTACATTTCAGTATATTCTTACAGTAGCTAGATATTTTAAAAAATTAACACATATTGGTTAAATGTTAGCCAGTAATGCTAACGTTTCAGCACAGTGTTCCAGCACTGGTACTGGAATAAGTACTGTACCATTTTTACTTGAAAGATGTGGTACACTTGAAGTCCTGAATACCCTTCACATCGTACTCTCTCGCCGACACACCTCTAGCTGCCTCCTGAGTATAATCTCTGAACACACTTGGCTTCTCTGACTTTATGTGCTTGCCCCTGGCTTCCTGTTCCAAATACTGCCCCTCCTTTAACACTTACCGAATTTAGCAGTTTACAGAAAAAAGTAAATGTATCCCTTTTAACATGCTTAAAATAGAGAAAATACAGGATGTCATAGCAAGCCTCACACTTTATAAAGAGATCTGCTATTTCCTTTGTGGGTGGTATAAAGAAACATATTCTAACTCTGTCAAAGAACAACAAAGTTCATTTTAAGGAAGCATATCTTAAAAGACTAAATTTCTACTGCTTGGCCTTAACAGTGACACTTCCATAAATCAAACATGAGTAAGCTGACAATGTCACATAGCACTCTTTACCCAGGACAAGCAGTGACTTCATAATCACAAAGATAAGGCACATAATCACAGAGATAAGGTACATTTAAAATCTTAAATACGATTCTAAAGAAGCTCTCAACCCTTAGCAGATCTTTCTTTTTCTTAGCAGATCTTTTTAAAAGCCCTAAAAACACAACCAAATTTTATTACTACCAATTCCATGCAAGCATCCAAATTTTTCCTGCCATAAATTTATCACATACAAATTGTCAGTATAATACTTGAAAGAAAAAAAAATAAAACTTGAAAGAAAAGAAATTGACTATAAATACATGCTGAGCTATAAATAGGCTTGTGGGTAATACAGGAAATGAAGAACAAAGTTCAACATTCATTAAAAGAGCTTTTATTCTCTATAAACTATCTTTTATTTTATTTTATTTTAGATGACAGCTGTTCATTTTAATTGCTTAGAAAATGTTTAGTATGAATGACATTTTAAAATCTTTACTGCAATTTCCTTCCCTGTCACCTCCTCTTCAACCCACAACATGTTTAACAAAATTGTTAACCATCTAAATTAGAAATCGTCTTTTAATACACATTAATGAGATTCTGTGAAAATTCAAGGTTACCAATTCCCTTCTTCCAAAAGTTACTTTTAAAAATGCATATACAGGGCGCCTGGGTGGCTCAGTGGGTTAAAGCCTCTGCTTTCCACTCAGGTCATGATCCCAGGGTCTTGGGATTGAGCCCCACGTCCTCTCTGCTCAGCGGGGAGCCTGCTTCCCTTCCTCTCCCTCTGCCTACTTGTGATTTCTGTCTGTCAAATAAATAAATAAATAATTTTAAAAAATGCATATATGATCAAGGTTTAGCAGATTAAATATCCTTGACTCACTCCCTCTATTTGCTTCTGTATTTCTGATAATGTACTATTTACTACTCTCCTGATTATCCAGTCTTAACAACCCCCTTGCTAACATTTTATCTTCCAAATGTCCCTCCATATGCTCACTTAATTTTAGCCATATCGTGTCCCTTTAGATTCAAGGACTCCTCTTGTTTCTCTGGAAAAGCCTCAAAAGACTCAAATTTTCCTCCGTATCTTTATATCCAATTATGTCACTCTCCTATACAATGCTAAAAGAGGTCTGAATTTCATCTAGTCATTGGAGAAACACCTAATGAACATCTGGAATAATCAGTAAACATCTTGGAAAAGCCATGCCTATTCTTAGTAGGATTAAATTAATGCTAGAATAAGGCACATTACAATATGATCTAGAGTGTGATCTAGAGACCCACATAACAAAGATTAAAAACAAGCCTCAAAAGGATGGACCTTATAAGCAAGTAACTTAAGGACCCATCAGAACGAATTTTAAGTTTTCCAAGGAAGGCAACAAAATCTAAACATCTAATGATGTAACATTCAAAATATTAAGCATTTGATAAAAGATTTTTAGATATGCAAAGAACAAGCAAATTGTAATCCATTACCAGTTGGAAAATGAGTCAACAGAAACAGGCCCAATAACGACAAAGATGATAAAATTAGTAAACAACAATTTAAAAACAGTGATTATTAATACGCTCTAAGATTTAAAAGGAAAACATAAACTTGATGAAAAGAGAAACAGAAGCTGTATCAATCTTTATAAAACCCAAGTAGAAATAGAGTATAATATTTAAATTGAAAAACTCACTGGGTAACATTAACAGATTAGATATTCCCCAGAAGAAAAAAAAAAAAACAGTAGTAGACTCAAAGGCATAGCAATGGAAACTATCTAAAATGAAGCATAAAGAAAAAAAAAACTGGGGAAAAAACAAACAAATCATTAGTGAGTTCTTTCATATAGTATCAAACTGTCTAACATACATGCAGTTGGAGTCACAGACAAGGAGAGAGGCAGAGCAGAAATAATATTTGAAGAAATAATGGCTGAAATCTTGTAAATTTAATTAAAACTATAAATCCATCGTTCAAAGAAGCTCGACTCTAAGCAGAATAACACAAAGAAAATCCAAACAGAAAATCTTAAAAGCAGAGAGAGAGAAAAAAGGAAACATTACATTCGAGGGAACAAAGACAAGAATAAGCACACTTTTTATGCGTTAAAGTGCATAAAAAGTCAACTCAGAATTCTGTACCAGTGAAAACACCTCTCATAAAAGGTGAAATAAAGACTTTTTTCAGACAAGCATAAAAACGCAACTGTTCATTGCCAGCTAACCTCTGTTACAAGAAATGTTAAGCTTCCTCAGGCAAAAACGATACAAAATGGAAAGTTTGATCTACAAAAAGAAATAAAAACCGACAAAACTGGCAAATCTGTATGTAACTATATAAAACTTTTATTCTTGTTATTTAATCTATAAGTGACTAAAGTAAAAATAATAACAATTAATTATGTATGTAACATGTAGATGTAAGAGACAGGGCAACAATAACACATAGGATGATGAGGGAAACAGAATACTGTTGCAAGTATGTCACTTTATGAAATAGTATAATGTTATCTGAGGATGCAATGTAGTAAGTTAAAAATGCAAATTGCAAACACAGAGCAACCACTTAGAAAAATGAGAGGTGGGGCTCCTGGGTGGCTCAGTGGGTTAAAGCCTCTGCCTTCGGCTCAGGTCATGATTCCAGGGTCCTGGGATGGAGCCCCGCATCGGGCTCTCTGCTCAGCAGGGAGTCTGCTTCCTCCTCGCTCTGCCTGCCTCTCTGCCTACTTCTGATCTCTGTCAAATAAATAAATAAAATCTTTAAAAAAAAGAAAAATGAGAGGTGTACCTACTAAGTAAATAGTGGAATTAAAATGGAATCCTAAACCAAACCAAACCAAGCCAAGCCAAACAAAACTCCAAAACTCAGTTCAAAAGAGTGAAGGAATGGGGGAAAAACAAAGAACCATTAAATGGAACAAAGAGAAAACAAATGATAGTACAGAGTCTACTGACTCAACCAGACTGTTAATTATATTAAATGTAAAACGTCTAAACACCCCAATTATAAAGCAGAGATAGTCAAACTGAGTTAAAAATAAAATGATCTAACCATAAGCTCTCTATAGGAGATGTCCTTTAAATATTCAGGTAAGTTAAAAGTAAAAGGATGAAAAATGCTATCATACTAATTCTATACAAACTCTTTTCAAAAATAGAGGTGGGAATATTTTACAACTCATTTTATGAGGCCAGCATTACTGTAATACCAAAATCAAACAAAGACATTGCAAGAAAAAAAAAGAACAAATTAATAATTTTCTTGAATGGGGCACACGCACATATACACAAAACATTAATAAATCAAATCTACAATCTGTCAGAAGGATAATACATCATGGCAAGTGTTGGTTTTCCCCCACAAGGTTGGTTTAAAAATTCAAAAGTAGAAAAAACTGAAAATCAACAGAATTCACCACATTGACAGACTAAGAAAGAAAAACCATCTCAGTAATGGAAAACAGGCATTTGATAAAATTCAACACCGATTCATGACAAAAATCTCTTATCCAACTAGAAGAAGAAAAACAATTCTCCAATTTGAAAAAGGCCATTCTAAAGGAAATTAATGGCGAGACTGTAACTTTTCTCTAATATCGGAAATATGGCAAGGATGTATATTCTCATTACTTTTATTAAAAAATATACTGAGATCCTGTACTATTCAAGAAGGCAAGAAAAAGAAATAAAACACATCCAGAATGAAAAGAACATCTAAAACTGTCCCCATTTGTAGACATTATGGTTTACAGATGGAATTCTAGGCATCTATAAGAAAGTTAATAAAACTAAGGGCCACCCAGATGGCTCAGTCAGTTAAACATCTGACTCTTGATTTCAGCTCAGGTCTTGACCTCAGGGTCACAAGATCCAGCCCCACACTGGGCTCTGTGCGAAACATGGAGCTTTCCTTAAGATTCTCTCTCTCTCTCTCCCTCTGCCCCTTTCATGCACCTGCCCCCTCTGCTGGTGTGTTCTCGCTCTCTAAAAAAAATTTTTTTAATAAAAAAATAAAACTAAGTAAAGTAGAGTTCCAGAAATCAAGGTCAACGTATAATCAATTTCGTTTCTATACACCAGCAGTAAACACCTGTAGAATAAAATTAAATAAAAAATGCCACTTAACAGCAGCAAAAATAATTACAATTTTTAAAATTAAATATGTGTAAGACCTATATAATAAAAATTACAAAATACTGTTAAAAGAAATTTAAAAAGACCTAATTAAATGGAGAAATGTATCATGTTCACGGACTGGAAGACTAAATTGTCTTAAGATGTCAATTCTCTGGAGTCTATGTAATACCATTCAACTGGAAATTGACAAGCTGATTCTAAAATTTATGTAAAGATGTGAAAAACCTAGAATGGCCAAAATAATTTTTGGGAAAAAAAAAAGAGCAAAGACAATTTATACTATCTGATTTTGAGATTTACTACAGAGTTAAAGAAATCAAGACAATGTAGTATTTATATAAAGATAGCCTTAGGGATTAAAGGAATGCAGTGAAGCGTCCAGAAATAGAACCACACATGCATATGCAAGTGATTTTTCAATGAAATTACTAAGGTAATTCAATAGAGTGAAAGATAGTGTTTTCAATAAGTGGTACAGAAACAACTAAACATTCAATGGAGAAAAAAAATCTGGACCCTAACCTCATTCCATGTGCAAAATTAACTATAAAATGGACCATTCACCTAAATGTAAAAACAAAACCTATGGAACTTTAAAAAAAAAAAAACAAAGAAGGGTGCCTGGGTTGCTCAGTAGGTTGAGCATCTGCCTTCCGTTCAGGTCCTGATATCAGTCAGGGTCCTGGGATTCAGCCCCACATCGGCTCCCGTTCTCTCTCCAGTTCCTCTGACCCTCCCCCTGCTCATGCTCTCTCTAACTCACTATCTCTCACAAATAAATAAATAAAATCTCAGAGTTCTAGGATCAAGCCCAGAGTCTGTCAGACTCCCTCCTCAGCAGGGAGTCTGCTTCTCCCTCTCCCTGTGTGTCCCCTCTTTCTCTTTCAAGTAAATAAATAAAAAATCTTTATTAAAAAATAAATAAAAGAACAAAGGAGGATATCTTTGTGATCTTGAAGTAAGTGAAAATTTTTTTAGAAACACACACAAAAAACCAAACTATTATGAAAGCAAAAATTGAAAACTAGACTCCACCAAAATATAAAACTTTTCCTCTTCAAAAGGCATTATTAAGAAGATGAAAAGGCAGGAGCACGTGGCTGGCTCAGTCGGTAGAGCATAGGATTCTTGATCTCAGGGCTGTGAGTTGGAGCCCTACACTGGGTGTGGAAATTATTTTAAAATAACAACAACAACAAAGATGAAAAGGCAAGCTGGTATGGAAGAAAATATTTGCAACCCATTTATCTAACAAAAGATTTACATCTAGAATATAATGAAGACATTTATAATTCAATGGTAAGAAAAATTTTATAATGGGCAAATGATTTGAATAGACAACTCAAAATAAGATCTAGAAATGGCCAATAAGCACGTGAATAGATGGTCGACATCATTAGTCCAATGGGGGGGAGGGGAATAAATTAAACCCACAAAGAGATACCAGGGCATACCCACTAGAGTGGCTTCAATCAAAAACATGGACATTACCAAGTGCTAGTGCTGTAGGACAGAGGTCAGCAGAGCAGGAGGCTCTAGCCTGCTGCCTCCGCCTGATTTTGTAAATCCAGTTCTGTTTGGATCACAATCACACTTGTTCTTTTATATTTTGCCTGTGGCTGTTTTTCTGCTACAACAGCAGAGGTAAGTAGTTGCAAGTCAGCAATAAAAATGACTGAACTATGGATACATACCATCATGTGCATAAATCTCAAAAACATTTTGCTGCACAAGAAAGCCAGACATAAAAGATATAGATTAATTTGTATGAAATTCTGAAATTAATTTGTGTGAAACTGTATGAACAAGCAAATTTTATCTATAGTGACAGAGAGCAGATCAATGGTGGCCCGGGGCCAGTGGTTGAGAGAGGGGGGCTCTGGGTACAAGGGAACTTTTGGAGGGACAATAAAAATGTTCTACAACTTGACTGTACTAGTGGTTACATGAGCGTATATATTTGTCAAAACCAAACTGCACCTGAAATGGGCACATTTTATCTAAATGAAGAGATTACAATAAAGCTGAATAACAGATGGAAAAAACTTTGGGTTTGGATGGATTTCAGAATTTTTCGGAGTTTTAGAAAATGTGTGTAATGCTATGTGTGTAATGTAGGATCTATAACAACTCCAACTGGTTTAGTAGCAACACCCCATATTTAAATACATTAATACATTTTCAGCAAACAAATACTAGCACTAAGTAAAAGAAGTCTAGATAGCCACACAGGTCAGGTTTTGTGCACCAATGAATTTTAGAACCAAAGTTTAGAAAAAAAACTTTGGGTGTTCAGAGTGTTTTTGATTTGGTCTTACAGATAAGGGCTCTATAGCTGTGTCTGAATAGCCTGTGTGTCCTGGAAGCTTCTTAAGTGTCACACACTGTTGTCAGGTGTTTGCAGGGTGTATGAAAAAGCAACTCTGTCCTTGTCAAAGATACGAACAGAAAGACAAGGAGGTCCTGCTGATCAGGGCTCACGCGGTGCAGGAGAATCTGACAGAGACAACACACAACACGTAAGGCTGATTTTGATAATTCAGTCGGAGACCGGGAGAAGGAAAGATTAATTCAGTTAGTCTCTCAGGAGATCAGGCTGGAAAGCGAGGCCAGGGTTTTGTCATGGCGGTCTTACATGCTACGAATTGCACTTTGAAATTTATTAAACCGGACTCACCAGTGATACTCTCCGAGTCTCTGTGATTGATACTCATGAGGGTTTCTTCACCTGTTGGTGATGTGAAAATGGCATTCTGTGATTGATTCATGCAGGATCCTTTCTTGCTTTGGTTGACAAGGGCAGCTTTGGTATGAATCAGAGTAAAGGAAATCCATCAAGCCATTCAATAACAAAATGGATCTGGTCGTACAGCTATTTTCTTTAAAACAGCTTTTTTTGGATGAGTCAAATGACATCTGCAGCAAATGAGTGTTCTCATGTGATTATCATACCCTGGAGAGTCATGACCTAAAACAAAGAACACATCAAGTGACTTTAGAATTCAGCACACTCTTTAATAATAGCAGGCCAATTACCTGGAATTTCTGTCATTAAGAATGTTTTCCTAGTGACACTTACAACATGGATAAATCTCAAAATAATCATGTTGGATGAAAGACGTCAGACAATACGAAAATACATAGTGTCTAATTCCATGTACATAAAATTCTAAAAATGTACACCTATCTACAGTAACAGAAAGCAGATCAGTGGCTTCCTGGGGCTGGGGGAGGGGATTACCAAGGGGCAGGAGAAAAGTTTCAGGGATGAGGAGTATATTCATTATTGTGGTACGTGGTGGTGGTTTCATAATTATATACATGTCAAAACGTATAGGTGCAATCTAATAATAAATTATATAATGTTTAAAAATTTTAAAATAATCAATGTTTAAAGTAAAATAATAATAATAATAATAATAATAATAAATTATGGGGTCTGTAACATATGTAGAAGTAAAATGTATACAATAACAGCACAAAGGCCAGAAAGAGAAAAATGGAAATATACTGTTATAAGGCTTTTACATTAGACACGAAATAGTAAAATATCTCTTGAAGGTAAACCGTGATAAGTTAAAGATGTATACTATACCCTAAAGCAACCAATAAAATAACTCAAGAATTACAGGTAATAAAACAACAAAGGAGAGGATATGGAATGGTCTAGAGTCTCCCCACTCCGGCACTACTAGTATAGGGGGTAATGCTTGGTCAAGTGCCTTGCAGAAGTTCAGCCGTCTGCCTGCAGAATTCTCTCCCCAGACCCTCTCCCAGATGTAAAACCAAAAACATCTTCAGACATTGCCAAATGTCCGCTGGTAGGCAAAATCACTCCCAGTTGAAAACCACTGATACAAAAGACGTTCAACCTCACCTACGACTAAATAAAAATGGAAAGAAACTACTTTTCACCTCTTCCATCAGCAAACATTAAGTTTTATTACATTCATTGTTGGGGCGGGTATGGAGAAGCAGCACTCATACTGTTGATAAAAGTGCAAATTGCTACAAACTTTTTGAAAGGCTGTTTGGCAATGTCTACCAAACTTTAAAAGTGCACATACACCATAATTCAACAATTCTACCACTAGGAATTTATAATATGGATATACTCACAAAGTATGACAAAATATAGGCACAAGAATGCCCATATGGTATTTTTTTAAACCATAAACACACGACTGAAGAGAAAATATCCACAAAGAAATGGTTTAATAATGGTACACAAACAAATGTAATGCATTAAATGTGTGTGTACTTGATAAAAATTGTTACCAGTTAGGAGAACTGTTTAATACTAATTATAAGTCTGGCTTTATATCAAAAGACAGTCTCTACCAAATAGTCTCTACTTAGCAACCTGCAGCTTCTATTTGTGGCTAACTCATTCTCATGCATACTATTTATAGGCATTGTAAACATTCAGTGTTTTACAAGAGTCACCCCCAAGAAATGGAAGGGAACAAAATAAAGGCATTAAAAGCAACTGAAATATGGTCACTGAGGTAGAAGAAAAAAGCACTCTCAGTAAATACTACGAAAGACAGTTTCAGAGATGAAATGGGCAAGAGAATTAAATATTACAGAAAAGGCAAAGGGGAAATTTGTTTAAAAAAGAGGGTACTAGGACCATAAAATCAATATTAACCTCCTAGAAACCAATTCAGCCAAGAAGTTAGGCCCAAAGCTAAGCTAGCTGCAAGGAGTAAGGAAGTGAGATGGTAAGAATGGAGTTTACTGAGTACAGCCCAGGATTTCCAATACCAACTTTCAGGTTTACATGGACCAGTAAAATTTCAAAAACTTCTGAGGTTATTGACATAGGGTTGCCTTTTTTTTTTTTTTTTTGAAAAATACATTTTGTAAGGAAAAAGACATAATGGAATAAACAACAGTTCTTCCCAAAAAAGGAGTTTGTAATTTTATGTTGACATAACAGAAATTTAATTTTTCTATATTTGAATTCAGAAAATTTCAATAAATAAAAAATTTTAAATTCTATACTACAGGCAACATAAGGAATTGGAGAAGATGTTTGCAAATGATATATCTGAAAAAGGGTTAGTATCCAAAATATATAAAGAACTTATGAAAACTCAATACCCAAAAAAACAAATAATCCAATTAAAAAGTGGGCAGAAGGCATAAATAGGTATTTTTCCAAAGAAGACATACAGATGGCCAATAGACACATGAAAAGATGCTCAACATCACTCATCATTAGGTAAATGCAAACCAAAATTACAATGAGATGTCACCTCATACCTATCAAAATGGCTAAAATCAACAATACAAGAAACAACAGGTGTTAGCAAGGATGTAGAGAGAAAGGAAGCTTCTTGCACTGTTGGTGGGAATACAGACTGGTGTGGTCACAGCAGAAAACGGTATGGAGGTTCCTTGAAAAGTTAAAAATAGAACTACCCTATGATCCAGCAATTGCACTCCAGGTCTTTACCCAAAGAATACAAAAATACTAATTCAAAGGGATACACGAACCTGATGTTTATAGTAGCATTATCCATAATAGCCAAATTATGTTAACAGCCTAAGTGTCCATCGACTGATGGATGGATAAAGAAGATGTGGTATGTACACACACACACTCACGAATATAACTCAGCTGTAAAAAAGACTGAAATCTTGCCATTTGCAATGACATGGATGAATTTAGAGCATTATGCTAAGCAAAATACATCATTTAGAGAAAAACAAACACCATATGATTTTACTTACATGTGGAATTTAAGAAACAAAACAAATGAACAATGGGGAAAAGAGACAGAGAGAGAAAGAGAGGGAGAGAGAGGCAAACCAAGAAACAGACTCTTAAATACAGAGAAGAAACTGATGGTTACCAGAGGTTAGTGGGGTGGGGGGAACATGTGAAATAGGTGATGTGGATTAAGGAGCGCACTGGTAACGAACACCAGGTGTTGGATGGAAGTGTTGAATCACTATATTGTACACCTGAAACTAATACAACACCGTATGTTAACTAGAATATAAATAAAAACTTTTAAAAATTCTATTTTTTATGTAAAACAAAATTGTCAAGATTGCTGTCAAAACAGCAATCTGCACTAGCCAGTGCAAAATGAAGTAATACTCAAAAGTATTTTTTTAGGTACTTTACCTCCAGTTGTCAAAAATTCATTTTCACACCCACAATCAGTCTACTGTGTGCAACTGAAGTCTTCCCCATGTACCTTATTGCCCAAATTGCCATTCTTAAATCAACCACTGCAAGGGGAATGGAACTAAAATTGGATCAGACCAATAAAGATTTATCTGCCCACCCCCACACCCAGGAACTGGAGGAGGAAGAAAACAACCTCCCCTGAAGTTTATGACCGCCAGGTATTTGAACAAAATCTCAACTTGGGGTTCTGCCATCAAAGAAGTGAGGGAGGGGATGATAATTCTTGAGTAGGCTACCAAAACCATCTACTACCTAAGTCTTTATGTCACAAATGATCTTTAAAATTATCACACTCCAGAGACCCGGATTTATAGATTATAAACCCAGCAGTGTATCTTGAGAAACAGAATGGTGACACAAATATAAGAATAAATATGCTAGTGTATAACAGGCCTAGTGCAGGGTCAGCAAACTACTGCCTGAACGCTGAATTTGGCCTGTCACCTGTTCCTGTACAAACTGTGAGCTAAGAATAATTTTTATATTTTTAAATAGTTGAAAAAAACCTAAGTTAAAATGTTTCCTAATATGTGACAATTACATGAAATTCAAATTTCAGTGTCATAAATGAGAACACAGCCAGACTCATTTGTTGAAATACCGTCCACTTGGCTGTTTTCATGGTACAGTCGGTGAGCTTGGTAATTGTAACAGAGAATTTACAGTTAGGCAAAGCCTAACATATTTCCTATCTGATCTTTTGTAGAAAAAGTTGGCCAACTGATCTAATAGTAAAAGAATTCATCTGTCTAAATCAGTGATTTCCTAGATCAACTTCTTAAACATGGAATTCACCCTTTTAGATACATAAAATTAGATCACTACCTCTTGAGGAAGTTCAGTAAAGAACAAACTTCTACTTTCTATACCTATAACTGTATTTAAAGTTATTTCAATTTCTAAGAAAGCATTTTTAAAAAAGCACCAAGTTACAAATTTGCTTATGAAGAAAGAAGTAGAGAGAGGAAGGTAAAGAAGAAAGAAGAGAGGGAGGAGGAAGGGGATGTGAAGGGAGAGAACAGAAGCAAGTGCTTCTCATACTAGTCCAAAGTGGTTTTTAAACAGAATTAACCATATCTTTTTAAAACAGAACTAATCAAAGACCATTGTGAAAATCTAATGATAGCCTTGGGACATTCTTCCTGCTGGCCATTTACCCATTAGCTGGCTTAATCTTTAATATTTACATTAGCATTCATATTTTTTTCTTTTTTTAATATTTATATGTGTTACACAGAAACAAAAACTATGGACTCTAGACCTTTACTCTAGAGGATTGCTTTTTAATTAGTTTTGGAGGTAGTATTAACTCTAAATGCAAGAATAAAGAAAACCAAGTTGAATATAGAACTAAGTCCATCTTCAGAGTCACGCAGGAAGAATCTGGACCTCCAGGGTAAACCAGGAACCTGCCTAACAAGACAACTGTGCACTAGGTCAGGGATGATCTGCAAATGATATGCTCTTCCTAGTGACTCTTTAGAATTCAGTAAACCCTTGGGATATGCCCTGGTCTGGATCTGAGCTCCTCAGCAGGATTAGTGTGGAGTAGCAATGCTCAGTATAAAACAATGTATGCACCCTGGCATTAGACAAGCTTGAATTTTCATCTTACTGACTGGTTTTCTGACTCTGACCACATTATTTAATGGTTCTTCATTGTAAAGGTGGGAGTGATAATTAACTACTCTTGAGAGGGAGAATCAAGTATGAGAACTAAAAAAAAAAAAAAAAAAAAGGAATTCCTAGTTTGGTACCTGACA